TCGTCATTGTTCATTCTTGGAACACTACCCACCCCGTTGCCCAGGGACTTCTCCACAAGCTATATCATATTGTTGTGTGCGGTTGACTGATGACGAATGTCCTTTCGCCAGAGTGCTATGTGTGGCTTTTTCAGACAAAAGTAGAAAACTCGTGGATGCAGTTGTGCTCGTGTCACGGAACGAGATGGTACAACAGGATTACAAATTCAAGTCGGTGATGTCTCGCCCCGATGTAGATGGGCGGTCAGATTTCGTGAGAGCAGGTCAGGTCAGATGTTTAGAATTGTTTTATGAGGTGGAAGAGAAAGTGTCCGTAATACGAGACTGTATAGGGAATTCCTTAGCACGACGAGGAGGGTTTGTCAGGATGAAATACATGTCCGTGTTTTCGGAGACTGCAACTGTCTACGAACCGTAGAGCCACGTATATGGATCATTTATGAATGCCATGTATGGTTTCGGTTCACGACCTCGTCCGTGAGAAACCCCGTATGTCACAAGATACGGACGTGTGGTCAGACCTTGTGTTTAAGGGAAAACATGTTAAAATACAATCTTGTGGAACATGATGTGCACGTGCATGTGCATGTGCACCTTGAAATGGTGGATATGCAGTCAATCACACGTTGTCTCTCGCACCTATTGCAACTATTGCCTCTCGCACCTCTATCTACTACTTATTTTTTGCTTTGAATGTTTTTCCGGAAACAAACCCTGTCTACTTTGCAATGTGCGGTTCAGTGATTGGAACATTTCTCGCAAATCTGTGTGCGGTGTTTCCATCTACGAAGGTGCAATGTTAGGAAAAGACTATGCAACTTGCGAGTGTTTCCATCTCCACGTTGCGGTGACAAGAGAATAAATGTTATGAATGGATGTTATGTATCTTGTCCATGCAAAGAAATGACACGTCGATGACCTTGCAAGTGTTTCGATCTCCGATGTTCATGCCAATGTCTTACAGTCCTATACATGCTCATGTCAAGGAGGGGATCGATGTTTGCGATGACAAGAGTGAATGTTAGGAATCT